GTAAAGTTGAGAAAACTGAGATACATCATTACGTGAGATGACCGTCCAAATGTTCAATCAACTGGACTGATACAAATGAAGATGATGATTTCTTAGGTGGTAACTAGAATGTATTGTCCGTATCATATGTCACCAATATGGGTTTCACATCAATATTGAATTACATAGTGAGCTCTAACGCTATATATTTCAATCATCCAACCTGCCGATTTCAGCAGATCAGTATCATACCACTTATACCGGGTGGATTATCCGAGACTAATCACCCTAGATGTCTCATAGAAACATGTTTTCTCAAAAATAGACCGGAACACGTCGATTTTTATTCCGAGGGGGACACCGGTTTGACGCAGAATGAATAATCCACTACCCTCTACTCCTCAAAGCAACTTCCTCGATAATTTGAATAGGGAATCAGGGTCGTGTTATACATAATTGCGAAACATACTTTCACAAACCCATAGTTGAAAAAATTAAATAGAGGAACCGCAATTGTTAGGGGACTGGTTTGTAAAACGTCAAGGTGCAATATCCAATAAGAATCAAATTGAAAATCGAACAAACATCTCATAGTTCTTGTTGATCATACCGAAGGTTTACGACAGACAAGAACAAGTTCTGGGCCAATGTATGGTAGTGATCAGCTAGTTCTTGCCAGTTCATCAGCTTCTTCATTCCCTAGAATGCTACAGTGTCCTGGGACCTATTACAACGTTATTTCGTTATGTTCTGACAGGGAACTGAGTCCTTCTATGCATTCTTGTACCACTCAATATTTCTTAGAAGGAAATATGATAAAATGAATTTATTACCCGATCAATTTTTCTTATGCTTCCATAGATCTATTGATCGTGAGTATCCTCATCCAGAGAAGGTGAAAGAAATTCGAGTGTATCAAGATCCTATCTGGGACCGTAAATGGAAGAGGGTTGTAGATATCTACACAGAAGTAGTCAAATTAGAATCCAACACATATTTTTTCTCCAAGTAGCTTCTCTCTGATACCTTACAAGCAGAAAAGGTGTACAGTATCTGCCGAGGCAAAACAAGTTGGTTGCTCCGCAACATTCCAAGTAATTCGAATGGAATTTGCAAGAGAATTTGTAATCAAAATTGAAACTGATATTGGGTGAACGCAAAATGATGGACTTTCCAATAAAAAAAATTACACAAAATTGGTTTTATTACAGTTGGAGAAGAAATTATATGCAGTTGATCTACTACTCTGTTGTCTAGTGAAACGAATAGCCATTTCATATACTTTCACAACGATCACTATATGTATTTCGACATTTTGAGTAGCCTTGGAGTCCAGTTGTCAAACAAACTGACGAAATTCGGCTTGTATATCAGAGAGTTGTGAATGAGAGCAATACAATACAAAAATGGAAGATATTTTGAGTTACAGTGATTTTCATATGGCAATAGATATTTATCACTACTGTCTAGAGTTAGGAAGGCAGCAAATAATACAAATTGCATTTATTCAATTATCATTTTTTTTTTTACTTTGAAGAAAAGGAACATAGATGATTTTTTAGGACAGCAGTGGAGAAAAGTGACGACGCCATTCATTTTTGGCGTATGTATTCACATCATATAGAATGATAGGAAGTATCCAAATAGATGCCTTATGAAGTATACTCATCTATTCAATAGTTTGTTCTATAAAAATAATTAATGAATTGAAGGCTGTTGATACATTCATGCAGATCTACACTTTGAGGTTATTCCACAAAATTATTATTGATAATACCATTGTGTAGCAGCATTCACTACAATTATCGAGAAACGCATATCATGGTTTGTATACAGTATGTATTAGTATTAGTCATGATGTAGTTCCATCAATTACATGAAACCTATAAAATTATCTACAAATGATATGCAAGAAACGTCACCATAAGAATGCAAAGTATACAACTATGCTAATTACTTTGATTCGATCATAAATGAACTAACACAATTTATCTTCCCGTAGATATAGTGGTCTTGGTAGAAATGGTGGTACCAGACCTTGTTATATCAGGCATACTGACTTCCGCTTTTCTAGAGAAAATACAGGCTTGAGTTTTGGTAGCGTTGAATTCAACTAGGTTGTTGGTTTCCCAGGCTGTAATTTTCGCAAAATTTTCAATGTCAGCGTGGGCCTGCCTTCGTCGTAAGTTCTTAGATTCCTAGGAAGAAATGAGAATTCTAGAACAGAACGCAATATGGAGAGTACTATCGTCTGCAAAGCTGTGGATAGAGCAGGTGGTTGCTCCCAATAGGTTGTTGATGAATTAGGAACAATGTTGGTCCCAAAATTGATCCTTGTGGAACGCCATAATTGATGACAATAGTATCAGACGATACTCCGCACACCACCACATAAAACTCATGAGGTAGAACTGATATGAATGAGTCGACCTTTCAAATTTCCTGTGATAATTATTCACATCTACATTCCACATAGGAATTACTTCAATCCAATCATGGGTCATGAATCATACTGACTTGGGGTTCTTTCTTGTACTTGAATCAACAGGAATACACAAAGGCTTTGTTTTTGATTGTCAATACGAGGCCCACATCATTATTTATATTTTGGACTCTCTACAGATTTGAGACTGTGCCAGGAAAATCCTGACTCTGTATCAACTGCACCCAAGTCTATATACTATAGTCTCCTGAAATACATCATCAGGAGTTTCTGTAGGTATGAAGATTTCAGTCATGTACAGTGGCTCATAACTTATAATGGATTTGTGTGAATAATAATTATACACGAAAAAAAATGAACTGTTGAATCAAGCAGAATTTAATTGAATAGAGCGAATAAAAGTGTCATATATGCACGACAAAATATAATCTTGAAATGAGTAAATCTATATATTGTTTCAGAGCGAATTTGAAGTTTGAATCAAGTAAATATGTCTTGCATGAACTCTGGATCTTCTTCGATCAAGCACATCCATGAATTGTTTATGAAGAGATATTGAATTGGCTCAAACAATCATTTTGTTTGATTCAAAATAACAAGATATTGATTCAATCAAATATTTAGTTGATTCAACGAAATATTTGGTTGATTCAAAGAAATATTTGGTTGATTCAATAAAATATTTGGTTGATTCAATTAAATATTTGGTTAATTCAATTAAATATTTTGTTGATTCAAGAGAAACTATATATCCATTCGACAAATTGTTTTGTTGAACCAAATTCAATATTCGGAAATTTTCTGAAATTTCACATCAATAGAATAAACGAAACTAGGAAACTAGTCGACTCCCAGCATAGATCCTAAGTTTTTACTTCTCCTTAGCTGATGGAAAACTATTTCGGATTGCTAATCATCCTAAGTTCGATTTATCCAGCTGATATTTCAAACACGAAGAATCAGGCTTCACGTATATGATGAATTCGAGGGAGGCATAGACGAGGCGAAATGATCGCCATCTAGAGGCGAAAATTTAGGTTGATGTAGAATGAACAAATTATTTCATTGATTTTACATATTTCGTTGCTCTATTCAAGCAAATGATCCGTTCGAAACGAGTTTATTGCTACATCGGAATAAGAAAACTTGTATGTTGTTTCAAAGATATAATCTCATCAGAATGATCATTTTTTGATCAAATCAACAAAATGTTTATAGTTGAATCAACATCGACATTATCTTGGATCAACATAAATTGTTTTTGATAAAACCATATATTTTGTTGATGGAATTGATATTATACTGTTGATTCAATTAGCCTACATTCTTGATTTGAACAAGCTGCTTCCATGGAATAATCATGTATCTGGTTGATTCAACAAAAAATTGCTCAGTCCAACAAAAATACCTCAAGCATAAATAATTTGTTGATGCAACAGATCCTTTTTTTCCGTGTATCAATTCACACTAGAGGACATTTCAACCGGAAAACGTGACAACATGGCGCACGAATTGTGGGCGCGGTCTTCTCAGTTCTCAGCACTCAGCGCAATGTTGCCAAGTTTCCAACATTTACATGGTATTTTGTTATGGAGTCTAAGAAATATCTGAACATGCTGGTTGCTCGAGAAAGTCAAGAATGAACTATACACAGCGACAGGCCTCCGACATCTTTTTTATGACTTGATTATGATTGGCGACGTGACCATTCATTCGATTTATTAATTCAACAATGCCGAACAACGCAAAGACTCATTATTCACATAAAATGTGCGTGATACGTGTAACAAAGAATTAATGTAGGTCCCTAACGTGACAGTGAAGTAATTGAATGCCAATAATTCATTATTAGCAATGAAAGCAAAAATCTAGTGCAGACCACCTTCTTTAATGAATCCATAAGACAAAGATGTCACCTCCACCTGTCACAAAAAGTGTAGGTACAATTATTTGCCTGATATATACAGGACATACCTGATATAAATTAATTCAATTCAGCACATCAAACAGATTTTCAAAAACTACGTATTCTCCACCAATCGAGAAATAGTCTATACTTCAGTATTTAGTTAATAGCAATTATTGAAAAAAATTACCCTAGGACTGATCGAATAACTACCTGCATCGAAGAAAGTAATTCATATAGCCAATGAAAAATAATTTTGAATTTGAACTTGGAAACTTTGTGAGCAGGTTTTGAAAGGTAATATGAATTGTACGTCACACAGATAGCATATATTTCATACAATGGATCTGTTGACCTGTAGGTACTACGAAAATAGGTATATATACAAAAATGAAATGAATGTAGGCTAGGCAATATGTGTTATTGAACATGTCCATGCTCAACCATTTCTGGTTTCAATGGGATATTCTTAATTTTGTTTATTCATGTTCCAATATGCTATTAAATGTATTGTGAAATCATCGTCATTTTTTTTCAATAAACTCTTTATTATTATCATTTCAATTATTATTATTATTATTATCACTCATATTATGAAATTCAATCGAAAAAATATGGATTCAGCACAGCACTTGTTGATTTCATCCAGTGAGGCATTTTCCATCAATTCATCAGTGCAGTTGGTATACTTCCTGAGATCAGTCAGCTTTTCACTGAGTGGTTTTTCTGTGTTGATTCCTATTCTAAAAGGAGAAACATTCACAACTGTATCCACCATCAATGATAGCTCATCGTTATTTTTTAAAGCATTTGTTTGTGTGGCAGAAACCCATATTTTTTCAATCAAACCAGGTAATGAATCCAACGATTTTTTGGGTGAGTACCAAAAATAACTGCCTGACTCAATTTTTATCATTTTGATGAAATAAGCTCGAAATAACAATAAATTTGAGATGGATAGAATTATTTTCAAATCTGGAAAGCAAGTCGCTAAATATTTGAAAATAGGAGTTAATCCGAAATCAATAGCAGAATATCATAGACCAATATATGGGCCCTAACAGCGATACTTTCCAAAAACAAAATCAAGGAATTCCTTATTGATAATGCATTTTTCTCTCTAGATGAGGTAGAATCAGGTAAAATGAACATCACTTAGACGAGAGTCTTTTTCTCAATTTATTTCATGTTTTTTATTACATTAATTTCATGTTTTCTGTAATGTATTTATGTATTTTATTGATATAACATAATTTCAAATGAACTTGTTTCATCTCTTTCTTTTAATGTATATTTTTCACAATATTAATTGTCCCGAAATGGTTCCTCATGATTTCTGGCTTAATGCTCATAATAAATTTGTGTAAATAATAATTAAATTAATTCACACTAGAGGACATTTGAACCAGTAAACGTGACAACACGGCTCACGAATTGTGAGTGTGGTCCTGTCACATCTCAGCAATCAGCACAATGTTGCCAAGTCTCCAACATTGACATGATATTTTGTTATGGAGTATAAAAAATATTTGGACATGCTGGTTGCTCGAAAAAAGCAAGATTGAACTATAATATCATGGGTTCCTCCTTCGACAACAGGACTCTGACATCTTTTTGATAACTTGATTATAATTGAGGACTTGACAACATTGCTTCATGAGTGGATTGTCTGCCCAATAACGAAACAACATAAAAACTGACTGGCGGCCATGACGGTTCGTTTAAAATGGGCTCTAAAATTCAACAATTTCGAACAATGCATAGACTCATTATTTATATTTAAAAAAACGTGAAAAGTATTTAAAAAATTAATTTAGGTTCCTAACGACACAGTTGAGTCATTTAATGCATATAATTCATTATCAGTCTACTCGCACATTGTTGTCACCTGACTAGGTACCTGGCGAAGCTTGAAAATTTTCCATACAATGGCGAATAATAATCCAGGATATGAAATCAACGAAAAATTACCTATATATCATCGTTGGGGTATAAGTTGGTTCCTAAATGTTTATATAGTTTTGATATCCTGGATTTCCATTCGCCATTGAATGAAAAATTTGTTAAACAGGTGACAAGAACAATGATTGTAAAACAATCTGCACTCGCTTTTTTTCATAGCTACCTACTCATTAGGTCCACAACTTTTATAGTCATAAATAGTGCTGAATATTGGTAAAAAATTAATGTCGGTGTAATTTAAACTAGTGTGTGATGGAACACTCTGTAAGCAACAGGGGTAATATGAAAATTCATATTATTGAAAATATTGCTACATATTTACAAGGCGGGTCAATAAAAAATATAGAAAAAGATTCTGAATTATCGAAATTCAAGGCTAATATTCCCAGTATATTGTTTGAGTGTATATTTTTGCAATGCGCAAAGCATCAATGATTCAAATATGAAAAAACATGCAGGGTGCTTCATTTAAAAAGCATAAAAAGGGGTAATATTGGAATAATAACAGCTCATTGAAAATCTGTTTAAGCCACTGGATTCCACGGGAAAATTTATTAAGTGACAGTTCTTACTTGTTCTATAAGTTCAAAGATAGCTGAGATACAGAGAAGGGGGGTTCGAAAATGCAACATTTTGAATGTTGCCCTGTATCTCAAAAACTAAGCTGGTTATGAAAATTTGGTTTGGGGTATCGTGAGTTTCACAAAAAAGTAGCCAACGTTTTTTTTTGTTAAATTTGTATTTCGCTACTTCAAAGTTGGGAACCAACTCCCCAGAAGTCGGAACTTGTGCGGGGTTAGGAAGTGCGGGACGAGGTGCGGGACCTACAGCTTACAGTGAAATTCGAACCACTCCTAGGGCATCGAGGTGCTGCCTTGATTACAACCATGAATAACACATTTCAAAGGAAAATGCTCAGCCGATAGCCGGATTCGAACCGACAGTACCTTCGCATCGTGACCGGTTATCTTGCGAATTTCAGCGCTTAGGCAAATTCAGTCACGGCGCCACAATGAAAGTAGGATTCAGATTACGAATATTTGTTTAAGATACTATCCATGCATGTTTGCTTGGATGACAATGTTTGCGGGAAATCTACGTAATAAAAAAGTTTTACTGCTCATGGTTTTTTCTATGGATTCTATCACGATTAGTAAATATGATGCATAATGTTGAATATGTGACCATTTTTTCATCAAATCTACTATATTAATATTTACGTACATATTATCAATCTATGTACCTACTACTTTGCTTGTTATTTCAAGTCGATGTAAAGAACAATAATACGATTTTGTTTAGATTTGATGAACAGAGTGATATCAGAATCCTGACAACATTGCCGATATCACCATTGAATTTGAAATCATCAAAGATCACCCTTTTTAGAATTTTGTGAATTTTCTCCGTGCCCTTTTGAAAGTATTGGACCGTTCACAGACATTTCAACGAAAATGCCATGTTGATTTGGCAACATTGTCAATAACAGCATCGAATTGAGCATCATCAAAATCCATTTTATCCAATCCAATTTCATGAAAACCGTGTCTGGAATATGAGACCGTTCCCAGACTTTGAAAATATACCCTGCTTATACAGGCTGATTTCAAAATGAGTGCATATATTCAAGACATATATATGAGAGAGTCTAACAAAAATTACTAAAATATTTGATTTTTCCTAAGTCCTCACATTAACGAGAAATTTCATTTTGAAAATTGAACATAAAATGCTTCGAAATTCGAGTACGCCACTGGGAAGCAAGTGAAATCTGCGGAATCCCAGGGACTCCCCAATTCGTCATTCACTAACGTCAAAACAAGACAGTGATGCCAGATTGTTTCAGAGACGAATATCCTGATAAAAATTTGTCACAGAATGAATATGAATTGGAATAGGTTATGGAAACTAATAGAGGTGAATGTAATATGTACAGGAGCCTTATTTTTTAAAGTTTACTTAGAGAACTGTGGGGTGATTATCTCCATGGATCACGAGAGACGGAGAGAAACATGAGGGGAATGATAGAACGTCCCCCTTCCTTCAATTCGAAAATAAGGCTCCAGCGGGTAGATACAAAATTAGCAGACAATAAATAGGTACACAACATAAACAAAGTTGAAAATCGACTCACCTAGTAGATTTTTTCATACCTGCTCGAAGAGCAAAACTCCCGAGAGCAAACAAATACCAATATCGAGTCCATTCCAGACTAATATCGTCCTGTGTTCTTGTTGGTTCATATTCGCACTTAAACCATCGAAAACGACTCGACGACAACATATCCTTTCTGGCAATCTCACATTGAAAATCACGATCACGACCATATCACGATTATCACGACCCAAGACACAACATCCAATTATTTTATTTTTCATTTTACGTTTACAATTATCCTAAAGATCCTTTCTTGACAGTTTGTTATCCTGAGAATGTATGTTATTTTGGAAAACGTCAAAACGTGATACTAGTAAATGTAAAGTTTTTTTTCTGACAATTTGCTTGGAATGTGACGATGCATTTCTCAAACATTGAGCTGAATGATATGGTTCTTATGTCGGGTCGTTATTGTGCGGGGCCCATGAGACTCCTCGAAGGACACGAAATTGTAGCGATGCAAGGAGGTGGAAGGAAGGGTCTAAAGGATTTTTCAGTAAAAGAAATTCCAACCGTGAGGTGTTGAGTTATACGCTGTGTAGAAATCTTGGGTGAGTCCATTTTAAAGTTTTTGTATTATCTTTCAGAAATTCAAGACCAGGGTTAACTTCTTCCCCATGTACATTTTCTCGATTATACATTTTATTTAATATCTCCTAATTTTCATGTAGAGTGGCAACGTCGCTTCGTTCATCACTGTGACTGCGGATCGCAAACGATAGTTGTGACAGAAGTAGAAATCTGGGCGGAAAAACGGTATTTTGCCCCAAATCTATTTTGATCCTAATAATATTTTTAATAGTGCTATTCGGTAGTATACCTCAAGCTTTCTTAGTGTTCAAAATATATGCACTTATTTCAAAATCAGCCTGTATTTCGACGCCTATCTACAGCTTCAACTATACAAGGTGGAGAAAAACCTCCAAAGAAGGAAAGTGTTGTATTTCGTGTTCCCTTCGTTGGTATATATACACGTGCAAACAGCCTAGCAACCCTCACTCATAAACTTCCAATACAAAAATTGTAGGGTTTCATATGTACTATCTTTTGACACTCCTTAAAAAAAGAAATGCTAATCGCAAAATAAAAAAACAGTCTAGGTCAGCTTTTCTCCTCTGTTCAAATATATATATAGTTTGCTAATGTTTCCCCGAGCAGTTTTTGAATCAATGCTCCACTACTAAAATTCTTTATCATCTTCCTATCTTGAATTTTGCCTTCACGGAATAACCCATTTCATTGATGAACTGACAGAAATGTCAAAAAATGCCTGTTATGTTTCCATGACACTGTTGTGTCCACAGTCATCCATAAATGTTATTGCGACTTTGATTCAATGCTAAATGAGTGAAAAATGACTTGAGGAAACATTAGCAAACATACATATTTATATTTGTGAACAGGAGAAATTTATATTTCACTACTGATTTGAACTCTTTCTCTCTATTTTTTGATTCGCATTTGTTTATTCAAGGAGTGAGAATAGATAGTATAGATATAATCCAACAATTCTCATTTTTGAAGTTTTTTTACCCTCGTATAGCTGCAGCTACAGTCGAAATATACGGGGACAACCTGTATGCATATTCAAGCTACCTATTTAAAAACTGTCCTTGGTATACAAACTATTTCGAAGTTGAATGTCATGTTAATTGAAATATCACCACACAGAGCTACAATGAATACTAATTTCTTGAAATATTATCATGGCTATTTGTCATCGAATTTTCAAAATTATAGAATTTCAGAAGTGAAGT